AAGAAGGAGGGAGGGTTTAGAGGGAGCACCGCGGGGGACGGCCGGGCAGGAGCGGAGAGCCGGGGGGTGCTGGGGTGGCACACTTGGATCAGGGATCCGGGCACCGGGAGCACGGATCCCTCACACTTGGATCACGGATCCGGGCACCGGGACCACGGATCCCTCACACTTGGATCAGGGATCCGGGCACCGGGAGCACGGATCCCTCACACTTGGATCACGGATCCGGGCACCGCCACCACGGATCCCTCACACTTGGATCACGGATCCGGGCACCGGGACCACGGATCCCTCACGACACGGTCCTGGATCTCCGCACCGGAGACCTGGATCCTTCACAGCGGCCTCTGGGCCCCCCTCACACCCCAGTGATGGCCTCGGGGCCTCGTCCCTGTGCCCCTGACTCCTCTCGGGCACCCGGCAGGGCAGGGCTGGAGAGGGTGGGGAGGTGAAACCCAGCCTCGGTGGTGGTACCAGGGTCTTCCACTCTCGTAAGGATAAGATTCTGGTGAGTCCCCAGCTGTTGTTGTGGCTGGGGAGTGCAGAGTAAGGCAGCGCTGCCTTGAAAGCTGTAAAACACAAGGTGTTTCCCAGTGGGCTTCTGCGAATTGTTGGGTTGCTTTGGAGGCACCAGAAGAGTTCATCAGCTCCATCCATCCTCACGCAGGTTCACCTCTGGTTAGGAAGTTTCTGAGCAGTGCATGCCACACCTGTCCCTAAAGACCACAGACATTGGAGTGTTCACCTGGCAATGCCAGTGCTTGCTGACTTTCCCTTGTTCCTGATCTGAATCTTCTAACACGTCCACAGTGGACATGGATAATAATGCATTCTCCAGTTACGTGTTTGAAGACCGTTGCCATGGCTCCTCTTGGTCTCCTTTTCTTTAGATGGAAGAACACTAAGTACCTCTTCCATATTTTATGACTCCTTTGTCGTTCTTCTCGGTTCACTCTCCTGTGAACTGTCACCAGTTGATTCGCAGCTTCCTTTCTGTAATGTAGCCAGAACTGGGTGTCACATGCTGAGAAACAGAAAATGAGAATTGGGGTGTTTTAGAGGCCAGGCTTCTGTTTATACAGTGAGATTTTTTCAAAGAAAAATAAATTGCATAAGGATGGCATAATACATACATGGATCTTCAGGACAGAGATAAAAGTTGTTGTAATGAGGCGAGGCAAGTGATTTTGTCTCTTGCTTGCCTACTTTGTGACTAATTTATTTAAAAGTTTAAGGGACAATATTTTAAATCCTACTTCGCTTTTATATTTTAGCTTGACCAGTTGTTTTTGTAATTTATGTATAACTTTTAAAGGCAAGTTTCATCTTAAAAATATGAATGATGATGCTAACAAATAATATTTTATCAATAAATACTATGTAATTCTTACTCCAAACAGTAGAGAGCATCATATAACAAGGTTCCATTTCAGGCTGCTTTTTCTCCAGGCAATGGTGAACATGCTTAAGAAAATGATCAAATGTTACCATCGTTTTTGGTTCTAGATTAATACTGTGATGAATTATTATGACAGGATGTCAGACTATGGAAATTATGAACATTTTGCACCTTCAACCTGTTTTTAGTTCATTTTCAGTGACAGCATAAGTACTCCCATAGGGTTGTCCTCCAGGAGGGCAGAACACCTTGGAGCTGGAATAAAACTACAAATAGTGAAGAGATTGTATGAAGCTTTATTCTTCCCTGGAGACCCTGCTTTTGTGGGATCTCTGCATCTCTCATCTCTGTGCCAGAGCAACCAAGGACCCCTGCTGCACCCTAGTCTGCTACAGACACTGAAAGAGCAAGGGTGATATTTGGGAAAGTGGCAAAAGCTGACCAAGCAGAAAAATCATGTGTGACAGTCCTGTTTTTCATCCCTGGCACCTCCCAAAATAATTAATTATTTCCCAAAATCATCAGCCTGCCTTAGAAAAGGTACCTTTGCAGTTGTTTCCTGTCTGTTGCAGCTTCTAGATAGCAATGCTCATTTTGCCCATGTAGTCAGGTTTATCAGAAATGGAATTTAATATGTTCTTTCTTTTGAAGTTTTAGTTTATACTGTGACTGTCATATAATTGGAGTTCCCTTTGCTTGGTCTCAGAGGAATAAAATGGTATGTTGAGAAGTTCAGAGCAAGTTGCAATGGGAGGAAGGAGAGGGTGGCACTGAAGTTGTATCTGGAGAGAGCCTTGTTCCCACTTGATCTTGTGCAATAAATCACCCTCTACACAGCTTAGTACAGATTTATCATTTTCAGTCCAGCCTCTGGTCTGGGCTCCTTTTGGAAATGTGGTAGGTGTCAGGGTGGAACAACTCTGCTCCAGTGCTTATCACCAGCATTTTCAAATGAATCTGTCTCTGTGCTGTGCCTAGGTGCACATCTGCTTGTATTAACTGACCTAATTCCTTCATTTTCTCTTCTCTGTTTCCTGCATTTCTCCCTTTCAGTTTCTCTGAGCCTGCCCAATGCAGGATAGGCAGTGGTCTTTCCTGTTGCTTGGAGATATGGACTTGTACAAGTCCGTGCCTCATGGCAACAAAATGCTGAAGAATAGGAGCTAACTTAATACCTCTTGATCTGTTTCAATCACCCTAGAAGTAATGTTTTGCTTTTCTTGACATACTTGCTGGAAGAACAGGTTTGCCTTTCCTGATCTCACTCCTAAAATATTTCTTGTGTAACTTCTTAAAAAGTAGCAAAGTACAAGGAAATAGTAGTGAAATAAGAATAAATCACGAGACTAATCAGCAAATGCAGCCAAAAAAAAAAAAAAAAAAAAAAAGAGGTGGTAAAACATTCAGTGTTGTTTTCCTGCCAGCTTCCTTTTGGCTCTGATTTAAAGGTCACAGACATCTTATCCATCTTACTGACATCAGTGGGGAACTCCAGTTTTCCCCAGGAGTGAGTAAATAACCTAATTGGTGTTTCCCAAAGCTATATGGTGAGGTCAGAAGACATTCTATGAGGATATTCTTATTCATGAACTAAGGTCCTGGTTACAGATCCTACCTGGTGCAATCCTGACATACAGTTAGTGCATAAATCCCCCTGCATGAACTGGGGCCCCTTTTTACAGTGCCAGAGCTTGATTTATTTTCCATGGCATATGTGGGGATCACTGCTGGACAATTATTTCAGACTGGTTGCTAAGAGTGTTAACAGTAGCAATGCCTATTTTGTTTCTTATTTGGACACACTCCTGGTCTCCAGTGATTCCATAATCTCCTGAAGAAAAATACTCCCCTCTTGCCCTCCCCTAAAAGTTTTGTGCCAACAGCGCTTGCTTGCACCTAGCAGAGTTACGCTCTGGAACCATATCGTGGCAAACACTTGTAACATTGAACTTTTTCTTTCTTGCATGGTTTTTGAGTGAATTCTGCATGAACCCTCACAATTGCAAAACTCCAACAACAGAATGAAGGGAGGAGGAATAAAGTGTTACCTGCTAACCCCAGAGAGGGAGGAGCTCCCTACTTCAAACATCATCAGAATTATAAGGAAGGTGTGTACTTAGAGCACTTCCTCAATGCAGAAGTTCAAGCACATTATGCTGAAGACCTGTCCTGAGGGTGCTGTAGAAAGTCTCCAGAGGGTCATTTCATGGGGGAAAATCCTGCCAAGAACCATTATGCACAGCTTAACCAGGGAGAAGAGAATGAGATGGTGAGTTGTATCTCTGTCTAGGTCTTTCTCAGTTTGAAGCAGAAGGTGGCATGTGTTCTGCAATAAAATGCTACAGACTGTAATTGAGTTATTGGTAGTTGGGGTGTTTCCTTGGCAGAAACATACAGTTAGAAAGGAATGTAATCTTTTTTAGCAGAAAGAAAAGAAGGTTGGTTGTGTTCATTGGTTTTAACCGGTTATCCCCTCCAATAAGGGATGATGGCTCAACAGATTATTCATGTGGTGTTACAGATCTAGATGGAGGTGCTTTAATATGAGCTTGAGGGATGGGCCAAACCAGCATCCCCAACCACTTGACAGCTGGATCTCCAGGATAAGCTCCAGTTAGAGAACTACAAACCCTGGCTTTTTCCAAAACATAAAAACACCTGTTATGTTTTCACAAATTACTGGCAAATGCAGTCTGTTGAACTGACAACACTATCTCAGAACCTGGGATTCCTAAATACAGAACTGCTGTATTTCTTTCCAGAGTTTTCCATGGAGAAATGTGTCTGCATGCATTTTGTAACATTCTATGTTTACACAAAATCTCTGGTCTCCTGCATGGCACTACTCTTTAGTAATAATGCCAGTGCACGATTGAAGTGAATTCGGTGCTTCTGAGCTGCTTTGGCATTACTGTGTGTTCTGAGTCAGCTATTCACATGGATTCTGTCCCTCTAATGGATTCTGTTGGAGATGTCAGATCCACAATACAGCTGTACAACAAGAGTTCTTAGGCATATCTGGTAAATGCAGTGCTTCTCAAAATTCTTGTGCTGCAGAGCCACTGGAGCGCTGATGTGAATGCCTGCAGGATTTCAACAGCAAAACTACTGAAACACAGTTACAAGTTGACACAGCTGTTCACTTTCAGAAATCCTGGAGAAGTCTTCGAAATCCCACTGAGATTGCTGTTCTAGTGAAAGAGACTGTGTCTTTGCAAACATGGATACCTGTTATTTTGCAAAGAAAAATGTAGATTTGCAGACAGCCGTCTCAGGCATTCAGGGAAAGGGAGATGCCACATTTTGCCTAATGCAAACCTGGGGAATGCAGTAGAGAGTCACCCAGCTGCATCAACTGAGCAGTGCAGGAAGCACAAGGCACTGGCTCCGAGGGTGGGGACTAATTATCTCCGTGCAATGCAGAACCCGACTGGCTCTGCCACCCAGTTACTAAACCGGCTGGCAGCACCCCACTCCTGGCTCTAGCCCTGGTGCTGATGTGCCACTGCTCCCCAGCTCCAAACAGCTGCTGGGTTTGTGCCTCTGCTCCACCCTGCCTTGTCCTTCTAGGACTATAAACACCCTGTTGTGCTCTCACCACTATTAGTGCTGTCTCTAGCAATGCCAGAATTGAGCTGGAGCTAATTAGGTTTAAGTGGATTGTCTGGTGCTGTGTACAGTCACTGTTGTACCCTGAATGTTCACTTCCAGCTCTGCACTGCTGGGACGCACAAGCTGTGCTTGTGTGGAGCCAGTATCCAGTATCATATCACCATCTCACCAGTATCATACTGAGCCCATGTGTCCTGAATCTGGTGCTCAGGGATTTGCACTGTGAATTTTCAATGCACAGCTGCTCTGTGAGCTCAGTGCTGAGTCAGTCTTCACTATGAATCCAGAGTGTCTGGCAGTTGCCATGTTCTCCATGAGTATGGTCAGTGCTCATTCACCTGGGGTTCCCAAATGGAAGAAAAAAGGCTTGTTAAGCACTTGAGTAGAAAATGCAATTAAAACTGTAGCCAAATTATGCTAAAATAGGCAGGAATGCATGTGTATTTGTTACATAGATGTAAGAGAGAAAAAAAGTATGAGATAGTGGAAGATATCCCTGAGGATGTATGAGGTACTGTAGGAGGATGAGAAAAAAAGGAACATGTGTGTAGAAAAAGAGAACAACTAATGTGTGTATTTGTGTGAAAGGAAAAAAGAAAGTAGTATGTCAATGAGAGTAGTTGTGAAGAAAGAGAAAAGGCTGTCTTTAAGTAGAGAAGTGAAGAAGAATACATGAAGTAAAGAGACTTTTTTTAGATTCAAAGCAATGTAAAATATTTTTTGATGTTGTTTTCAACAGCCAGTTTCATCTACCTGAACCAAATTATTAACAAGCAGTTCTTCTCAAACAAGATCAGATCTTTTGGTCTAATAATGTAACAGCCGACACTGTGCAAGTGCCAGTTCTTCCAGAGTGGAATAGTTCAAGTAATCTGAAAGCATGCAAGGAATTAATTTGAGCTCTGGATATGCAATGCTTCCCTGTGTTGAACCAGATGTCCAATTTGTTGTGGAAAGTTCAGGAACTCTAATAAGAAGGAATGCTTTGAAGTTTTCTTCTGTATTTCAAATTTTTGGTACAGCTGAGGTGCTAGATAGTCCTGGATTTAAGAATAATCACTCTGATTTACAAAAACTAACCTGTATATCCTCATGTATGGCTTTGGGTTTACTTTACAATTGCTGCAGAACATTTGCTTGAATGAAAGTTCACTCTTCTGCTATGCAGCTATAACTTAGCAAAGTGTATTCAGAGCATGAGATAAACTCTCTCTCCATAACCATTTGTAGTACCAGAAAGATCTTAGTAGTGTGAGAGAACTCTGGACACTCCAGAGCTCCGGAGCTTGCCTCAGAGAGGGCTAATAGTATGCTTCCCTTCTTCTGCTTGAAGATTTTGAGAAGTACATTTAATGTGGAGTATGAAGAGGAAGTTAAAACACAGCTTTATGCTCTCTGCCAATTTGATGTTCTTCTCTGCACAGCTTGGGAATAATCATTCCCTTTGCACAAAACCTAAAGTGTGAAGCTTAAGTCTTGCAGCGCAAAAGATTGTGATAGACTTTGACAGGCTACTGCCTTGGGAAGGATTTGCCAGCAGCCTGTCTTGAGCATGTATTCTCCTACTGCTTTGGCTGAAGGAATGGGAGAACTGCAGTCAGTCAGCTGGTGAACCCCAGTTTATTGCTGCATCTTGGCAGCTGTCTACCTCCTGTGAGATGCCACAGTTCTGAAGGGAATCTGATACAGGAATTTTATATACTTTGAATTTGAATAATGCAACTTTTAAAACTGAAATAAAATCTGAAAGGTACAATCTTGTTGCTAAAGGAACAATAGTGAATATCACTACTGATTTCAGAGTGAACAGGAACAAACCTCTATGAAACAGGCTCTGGTTGGTAAGAATGAGATTCAGTTATTAAATTGCTTGTGAAACTTAGCCAGTTTTTCAAGTCTAATCCTATTACCTGTTGTTATAGCAACAGGTTGTACATAATAGGGTACCTGGTGTTGGGGTTGCCAGAAATATGACCATTCACAGCCACTGCTTAGGCTCCCTGATTGTAGCAACAAGCTTTGTTTTCACCAAAGAAAAAGGTGCCTGAATTTGTTTGACTTTTGCATTTGAATTCTGCTGTGCAGATGACCTGGCAGTTAGAAGCAATATTTCTTTTAAACATAAGTAACAAAGACTTGCTGGACACTAGAGTGATAAGCTCTTGAATGCTGGCTTTGTGTGATCGTAAAAGCAGCTAAGAACCTTACTTGCCAACTGAGCAGGTCTGGCAGCTTTTTCTGTCCAATAATCCTGGCTCCTTCTTAGACCCTTCACTCACAAGTCAAACCATTTTGTTACAGTCACTTCTCTGTTGCGAGTCTCAAGAGAAAAGGAATGTTAACAGATGAGGGAATAAAATTTTACTATACTCTACAATTAATTAAAAATTATTCTGTAGAGATGAGATGAACACTGTACATCAGCCTATTTTGTAGATGGTGTTACCTCCTATGGGATAATAAGAAGCCCTTTGGAGTCTTAAAGACAGCTAATCTTCACTTTATTTTCCACCATTTCCTAGTCTGGTGCACTCAAGAACCCATATTATTTGACTGTGAACTATTTTATATGCCAATGCTCTCATTGAATTCTAAAAACCTGTTTATGCATTAGAAAAGTTGTCAAGGTGCAAATCTGTATTCATCAGACCCTCTTCAAAAGAAGCATGTCTGCAACAGCACAACAAAATTAAACACAGCAAAAGTTATTTCCTTAACAGCATAAAACTAATGTGACAGACGTGCACTCACTGCAGTTTGCCCACCAGGACTTCTGCCAGCCTTGAAAGTATTGTTTGCCCTAGTGGACATGCATTTGCTTGGAGACCTTTGTAGCAGAGGCCGAGTGAATCCTAAATAACTTCAAGAATTTCTAAACCCTAATTACTATACGTTGTTAATGTGGCTGAACAAACCTGCGCCATGTGTGTGCCTGTTCCTCACTTCTTCATGCACATTATGAATACCTCTGTTATTGGTCTAATATTCATCTGCTTTGTGGAAGATAATGGTTTTGAGAATTCTTCTAAAGAATTGTGTTTTGACTTACCTGATGAGTGAGAAGTTTCTGCTTCAACAAGGAGTTATTCATGTATTAATTCTTTTTTTTTTTATGAATACAACATTCATTGCTATAATCCTTCCAGCTGAAAGCACAGGGCCAGAAAAAACTCCTCAACCTAAGGAACATTCAGTACTGAAGTTAAGCTTGAAAGGTTCTGGCTCAGGGGACTTTGGCACAAGTCAAATTTGGAACTCAGTCTATTTCCCTGCCTAGCTTTACTTCTTAGTGACGTGGCCCAGGTGATCCACTCCAGACATTTCCAAACCGTGAGAAATTATTTGCTTTGGCAATAGATTACTTCATGGACATCTAGATACATCAGTAAACATCTGATGTTTATTCTTTCCCAGTTTACTCCTTGTAGAACTCCTGAACAGCTGCGTTAAGAAATGTCACACTCATCAAGACATGAACCAACAAGCCTGAACCAGCATCTCTGTTCATATGGCAAATCATGCCCTTGAAGGGTCAGAACAGTTTAATGGTATCCCTCTGTCAATCTGTCTCCCTGTCTGTCTCAAGAAAGTCCCTTGTGAGAAGCTCAAGATCCAGCACACAGCATAATGGATATCTTAAAGAGCATGATCTTTTCTTCCAAGATGATCTGTTTTCCTTGTTTGCATCTTCTGTATTTCAGGATGAGGAATACTGATACATGCTTGGTACTGGGAAGTTTCTTGGAATATGTTGTTTCAAATCACTTTTTGAATTGAAACTATTCTGGAAAAAAAAAGGCCTTAAAACATACGCTGGAATAGGGGGACTCAGATATTTTCAAATATTGGTGCATGGTTTCCTAGGCAAAAATACAGAGAAATACAGAGTTTACTCTAGTTTTGTGGTTATGTTATGTATCAGGCTTGGGAAACCATTGACCATTTCAGTGGAGAACACTGTCAACAGAAGATGATCTCAAATGACTGCCAATCAGAGCATTCACCCTCTCTCTTCTTAATTCCATTAGTACAACCTTACTGACTTCTCAGGCATCGGGCATAAGACACAAAAACTGGAAATTAAAGGAGTGATTCATGGGCAGAAGCAAGATGCACATGGAAGCAATCCTGGTCTTCCCCACCCTGATATTCATGCCCATCCCAAAATACTATTCCAGTTATTCCAGGTCCAGCCATATATTGAAGGAAGTCCAAAGGCGTGTTCTTTTAGCAGTTCTTCCCTTTGGCATCTCTCTCTTCTTGGGAGATCCTTTGCCTTGTTGACAAGCTGTGAAGTCTGGATCCAAACATCTGGATCCTGCTAGTAAGCAATTGCTGTGAAGAGTAAGTTCACATTGTTCTATGCATTATTCTGTATGCTGGTGCTGACACTATTTCTTTAACCTTTTTGTTAAAGTTACAGCAAGAGAGAGTTGAATGGAGACCCTTTACCTGTTTATAGGAGCATGTGAATATTAATTGTACATGACTGCCACACCAACTACCTCCTAGCAAGCTTGCCTGTCTGCTGCCCTCCATGGGCTTCCTTCTATCTGCTGTAGAGTTGCCTTATTCTCTTGGTCTGCTCAGAGATTATAGAAGCTTTTGAAAACGCTGTGTATGCATCTCACATGTGGTTTAACCAGGTCCTGTGCAGTGGCAGTGCAGGCCACTTCCCGTCGTTGTTTACCATACTTTTTCCTCATGGTTGCCAACTTCTTCCCCTTAGAAACCTCTTGGAGATTGCTTAGGATGACAGAGTCTGTCTTATGGGGAATGCCACAGAGCAGGTGTGCCGAGGCAGCATGTGGAACCACTGGGCAGGGCTTGCATTTCACATAACAAGCAGACACCAGCACACAACCAGGAATTATGCGTTAGTCATCCTTACAATTACATTGCCTTTTCTTCTCACCTTATCTTGCAATATCTGTGGCTGCAGACATCTGATCCTCAGAAGCAGATTGCACAGTTGCTGGAAATATACTCGGAAGAAAGGAATTGAAGAACCTTAACCCTTATGTTATCAAATCCTCCTGGTCACCTGATGTAATTGCAGCCATGGAATCTCCCATCTTAGCTTCAGCTGCATCTCCTCTATAAATTCACTATACATCTAATTTCATGTTTTCTAAGTCCCTGCTAGCAGTACTGTGAGGAAATTTGGCCATGGTACCAAGACCTGCAGCTCTTGAAATGTAATGCTGACAGACATCTCTTTGATGTTTTGGGCAAGTCACCCTGCCTCACTGTAACAATTTCCCCAGCTTTTAAAATGGAATAATAACACCTACTCATACAACTAAAATGAGTAGCTTCCTTGGTCCTCTGAACATGTAAAGCATTCTGCAAGTGTTCATCATTTGATGTTCTTACCAATTATTATTATTATTATTATTATTGTTATTATTATGTTAGACCAGTGGCACATGGGCAAGCTCAAAAATTCCCATACTGGAGCTGTCATGGAGGGTGGCAACAGCTACAAAAGCTGTGTCTGTGCCAATTTGTGCACAACAGCTCCAGCTCATGCAGGCACACAGTGTCATTCAGCACCAAGCAGAGGCACTGGCTGAGTGTCTGAAGTATAGGTGCATTAGTGCAGATCACTGCTACAGCAGGGGAGCAGCCCTTCTAATGCAGCAGCTCTGCACTGATCACTCACCAGCCCCTGGTGCAGATGTACTTAAACTTTGCAGCTATCTGACCCTTAAAAAACTTGACAGTCAAATCTGAATTCCTGACTTGGAATAAAGGTTTGAACCTTAGGATGCTATCATTCCTGCTCATGCACACACAAAACAGTGTCTCGTGGAGTTTCACAGCTACAGAAAAATAGCAATTGGATCTGGATTTTGTGAACGTGGATGAAAAGTTGAAGATGCAAATTTTTGGTAATCATGTTTAAGACATGTAAAGCAGCCAAATGCAAGTTCTATGGCTTGTTTATCACAGTACCATACCTAACACTACCTACAGGAGAGCAGTGAATGACAGGAAGGTATAGTATTGCAGGCATTTCTTTAGGAGAAATATAATGATTTTCCCCTTCTCTTTGCTGTACAGGACATATTTGGCTACAAAACTCAAAGCTGCCGAAAGGCTTTGTGCATTGCTGGATACATCTTGTCCTGTGGTGCTCTGAGGCTGCTGTTTTACTGGAAGCCAGAGTGGGATGTGTGGGTAAACTGCATCCGATGCAGCTTGGAAGAAGCTGATATTGTTCTGCTTAGAACAACAGTAGGTGCCTACTTTAATCTTTTAATTAGTCCCTAGTAGGTAGCTATTTGAAAGGTGAGTTAACTGTAAGGTGTCCAGTTAGCTGAAATCTCTTACATTGCTGGTTTCCTGCAATAATATCTTAAGTGTACCACTGTTGATCTAAAGAACTTCAAAGTATTCCACAAATTATGTGCATGATGATGGTGGGAATGGAGGGTAACAGCTGATCAGACAAGGTTCATTAAAGACATTGGGATGATAAAACCTGCAATATCTGTGGTTTGAAGACTGTCATTTGTTCTCAGTACTTCTTCCTCCCTTCTACAATCCCTGTGCTTTCTACATTGTAGCTGTGTGCTGCAGGTTCTAAATCACCTGTTTGTTTGGCAATATCCAGCAGATCCTGTTTCCCTCACTTGGCTATTCTGGTGAAGATGTCCCTCTCTGCCAAAATTTATCCACTGGACCAAATTAAAGATTTGTCTAGCAGGGTCCCCAGCAGTGTCCAAGTGTGTCATGAGGGATCAGTACACAGAAGAGGCCAAGCTTATACCGCTTATTTTCTTGGCTCTGTTTCCATTTTCCACCTGCACTTCCCCAAGCTTGCAATCATGCAGTTAATGCTTTCAGAGCTGGTACATTTTGCAAGTAGTTTCCTGATACTGGTCTCTGTCTGTTGAGGACTATACTGAAGCACTGCAACATATACAAACCCTGGTTTTATTTCATGGAAGCTACCACAACACTAAAGAAGCAAACTGAGACTTGGGTCTGAATCCCAGCTGAACCTGAGTACTCCAGGACCTGGCAGAGTTGGTTGACTTCCAAATATTTGATTTGTTCTGCTTCAAAGATTCCTGAACAATGGCATTTTCAATGTTTGCAACTGCAAAATGGATCACTTACTGCCTCTGTGTTTGAGCTGCCTTCTTAAGTGAGAACAGCAGCATGCAGTTAAAATCCCACATTTTGAAAACCACAGATCTGCCTGTTCAATACTTCCTAATGAAACAATCTGCAGCCTAATAGTCTGGGGGTATGTTTTTTCTTTTATTAAAAACATCATATTAGGCTTAATATCCCTTCTAAATCTTCAATTCAGTTTGCATTTTTAATTACCTATTCTTGTGTGTAATTTTAAAAAGATGTGCCATGGCGAGCACTTTTCAAATAAATGAGTTTTTAAATGATCCTTTGTGTAATTAAGCAGGAATTGAATCATATTGTATGTTCTTGTTATCAAGAAGATTTCTCAAATATGCTCTGGGTGTTTGAAAATTTGAGATTTCCTTCATGATTCTTTGTGTTAAAATGACAGTTTTGTTTTGCTACATTCTGATTATATCAGTCCTCAAATGTGATGATGGCTACTGCTGATGAGGATACAAGTAATTTCATCAGCTTGATCCTTGTAATTATCTTTTACTTCACATAAAACCTTAATTCTTAAGTTATCATTATCTCTGCATTTGCAATATAAGAGCCTATTAGCTTACTTTTGTTATTGAATTTTGATTCACTTTAGTTCGAATGATGAGAACCTGTGTTATTCACTGGTTCCCATCTCAATCTGCATGCCAATGTCTACTCATTCTGAAATCTAAATTAAAGATAAATATCAGAAAATAAATGCTATTCCACACAAAAGATTGATTTTAGAAGAAAAGTGGGCAAATAAGATATATAAACATTATTGAAGTTCTTTTTTTCACACTTAAATTATTCCAAAGGACTCATATTTGGTACAGATTTTTTTTTTTTACTGTTCCCTTTTCTAATTAAAATTTTGTAACTGCAAAACTGCTCACACACAGAATGTAAGTCAGTCTCATAGCTGACCTTAATGCATGTAGTTCAGTGTTTGGGACTGAAATTTAGCATGAGGCTACTCACTATGGTAGTTGCTCTAATCTCAACACTTGTTATCAGGCAGTTCTAATGTTCAACTTACTTCATAAAAAGTGGGAAGGTCATGAACTCACTTTGTGGCAAAAGCTTGTGTAAGGTGCCATAAGTGCTGACACACTTCTTCCAATGAAGTGTTTACTCAGGAGTGACTGTAAAGGTACTGGCACTAAACATCCATTTTGCAGCACAGCGCTGTGTTCCCTTTGATCTTCCCTTTACAGCACGGTCACTGCATCTCAGATTGTCCTGTGCTGTTTGCCTGTCCTAGATCGTGACCTGGGTGTTCACATTGCATCCTTATTAGCCAAACGCTGGACCTATGGTCACTGAAGTGTTTGCAGTACTTGCATTTTGACAGGACAGTGGATCTGTTCTTATTCTAATGATTTTTCTCTCAGTCACAAGTGTTGGCAGGCTTCTGTTGGTTAACCCTTAAAAAAAGCCAGAGCTGTGCTCTAGAAAGGCTACTGTAATCATTGACTCCAAGGTGAAAAGGAGTTTGGTTGGTGTTTGGGGCAAGTTGTGACTCTTCTCTTCTATACTCACTTAGGATGATTTTCGGACTTATTCTCGTAAGACTGTGACATGGATCTCTGTGTCTGCATTTATCAAAAGTAAATCAGATTATCCAGCCACTGAGGAAGACTCAATCTTCAGTAAAGCCATTATGAAGCCAAGTTTGCAAGTAAGTAAAGTATTCCCTGTAGCATCTGGGAGATGATGGCAAATCTCAGTCACGCTTCATGGAGTGAAAGTGACCTGTGAATGCATCCAGCTAAGAATCTTACAGCTTGAGGAACACAGTGAGCTGTGGAAAAAGAAGAGAGCTGTACTCAATGGTTCTTGCCTCTGTAAAAACCCTCTCTTTTTCTGAGAGGGGTTATGAAATGAGAATTCTCACTATTTCTGATAGAAAACCTGTAAGTAGGAGAGCTTCAGGAGACTGGGGTTGGCGGTGAAGAATCAGAGTTCCAAATCAAAAAATCATTCCTGACGTAGGAATCAGGGAATTTAGGGGTGACTGTGTGTCTGAAAGGAGACTGTGCAGAACTGAACACTGCTGCCCCAGTAACATGAAAACAGGGATGAATGCAGCTGATGCAGAATAGAACAGAAAAGTGCCTGAGTGACATCAGTCTTTCCAGAAATGTTTCATCAACACATTTTGCTTCCTTGCCTCTGTATGCACCAATTTGTTCTTTCAAGTGCGTTTGCTGGAGTCAGGTTAACAGGAGTCATTGTTAACTGTGGCAAAAATGTATCCTGGTCTCTGCCAGTTCCATAGATTTGAGATCCTGATGAGATACTGAGGAGAAGGTAGGTGATGGATTTATCCAAGCAGATCTCAATGTCCCTCCTGAGCTGAGTGAGTGTAATTATCCCATGTCTAAAACATGTACCAGACAGTTCAGTTAGGTGCCTTGTTTAGCATTACGTGTTAAGTTTGTGTGAGCAATAGGAATACAAAATGATACATTTGCTAATATCTGGCTCTTAATTATAGATACTAGAGCACTGCACCAAGGAATCCAGAAAAGAGCTATTTTCCCTTTCAGGAAATAATTTCTAACTTACTAGAATTTATTTTTATATCTACAACATTTTTTAGTAAATATTTTCAATATAAACCTAACTTCAGCTGAGCAAAGCTGTTGCTATTTCTGCTGTGGACATATATGAATGTGCCCAGGAAAGTTTAGTGCCAACTAGTTTAATCAGCTGGCACAATATGAAGGAAGTGGAGACAACTCTGTAGCATTCTTTTGAGGATCAAAGTAGTAACATAAAAAAGCCAAATATAAACTCAAATAATAGGCCCTTTGAACACCACTTTCATATCAATCAAAACATCTAGATAGAAAAGACCAGATTTCAAATCAGCAAAGAGAGAACAGTTTAATCCTTCCTTAGCAATTCAGAAACCCCTACTTATAAGTCAGTTATAAAGTGTTTTTGCCATCTAAGCTACCTAAATCCACAGAGTTGTGTGCTGTGCCCAAGAGCTGTCTAAGGACCTCTTCCAACAGGGAGCTGAGTCCCTCGCTTCCCACTCCAGTTTTTAGCATTGCAGATGTTGCAGCTCCTATTGCATGAAATCCTGACTTCAGACCTCTTGTTAAGTTAATGACTGTGGTTATAGCTCCATTTTGAGTCAGTGGATGAGGTGAGTCTAGATTTCATTGGCCTATAATAATGCTTATTGCACTGGGTAGGGAGAGTTCCCTGAAGCTGATTTCTTTATCACTCGTGTGTACAGGTGTATAGCCCTGCCCTCTGCCAGCTAGATAGGAAGTGCCATTATCTCTAATAGGCTTCATTATTGTTGCTCAGGACAGGACAGACTCCTCTTGCAAGTTATAAATGACAACATGTGTTCCTAATGGATAACTGCTCTGCAAGGACTTAGCATTAGCAGTGACTCAGTATCCTGGGATGGCCTTTCTTGTCTGTTGGCACATCTGTTTAGCTGAAGGACTCAGCACCATGACTGGAAATGGCCCAAAGCCCCCTGCTTTCCACAAAGCCAGACGGAAGACAAGGGAGCTGTTGGCTGAAGACAGCTGCCTGCGTACCCACCTTGGCATCAGTGATCTTTTAGGTTCATTCTGTGAGATCAGAGTGAAGCTTATTCCTTTCTTCACAAAGAACACTGTTTTGTACTTGCTTGACCTAAAGATCTGTAAACTGGAACCTGCACTGAGCTGAGGATCCCAATCTATAATTCAACTAGGAGTCAGTCTATGCAATCCTGTCTTCTCTCCCTCTTTACCCCCATAAAATTTCCTTTATCTGTACTTGATCCCAGTGAGGATGCCTAGATGAGCTCTGTGAGCAAGTCTGAGTATTTTTGTTTGCTATGTTGCATGAATTGTTGTCCCTGTTTTGTTTACCAGGTGAGAGCTATCCAAGTACAAAAAATCTGCTATGTCTGGAATATCTATGCAAAACAGTTCCAGAGAGTTGGGTGAGTTCACTGCACTGGTTGCAGAAGTCTCTGAGGAAGTCAAGCGTCTTTGTGAATAATGTCCTAAGGAAAACACTCCCTTTCTATTTTAGAGTCCTAGAAGACCACTACACTTGCTCAGCTATACATGATAAATTTGGTTCTGGTCTCACCTGCAATGAACAGAATGTCAGGTACGCATTTTAAAACATGAGCACTCAACATATGGATTTCAAAGAGATGTAAATTCCTTCTGTTGCTGCACTTCCTCGGAGTTTTTTGTGTATTTATTAATATGCACATAATTTTAGATGAAACAGCCATGCATGGAAATATTGAATGAAAAGGGCTAGAGAATGAATTTTAGTCCTTGTCAAAGTTTTTGAAGTGTCTCAGTATTCATCTCTGTTATTGTTCTCAATCAGGAAATAACTATGTCCTGTAACTAACTTTTAGCAATTCTTATTTGGAGTAAGAGAAAGTCTCTGTAAAAGAGTGCAAATAAGGTATGTTTGCTTCCTCACTGGGGCTCCAAATTGACTAGTTCTGGTCTTTGAACTTATTCTCATAAACTACTGTATCATTAGCAAGTTACAGAACATGTATTTATGAAACTGCTAAATACAGAAATAATCTTCAGTTGATTGAATATTGAAAATCCAGCATCCTCAGATGTCAAATCTTGCATTCCAATCACTCTTAACTTTTTGCAAAATTATTTGGGCTTGGATAATTAAGTTTTATTTAGATGCAGAATTCCTTTGTTTATAGTGTCTCAAAGTAATTTTTGTATGACGGAAACATTTGCCTAATAGGTTCTGTTGCACCTCTTGTCTGCATAAGTAAATGCCACTGGTACAGCCATCTTTTCTGACATGTGAGTGATGTTTTTTATCCCGTACAGGAGAGTTATATGTGGGCCAAACACTATCGATGTTCCAGTGATCCCTATTTGGAAACTACTCATCAAAGAGGTTAAGCGTTATTCTAAGCTGCTTGGGAGGCCATATGTGCATATAATTGATTCTACATCTGATTTAACTTCCCACTACTTACTCTTCAAGCACATTTCTTTTTCAAATCCTGTTGAAAGCTGTTCCATGAAATCATCATAAATCCATTAATTTTTCCTTGTTCCACATTCTCCATTCCCATGCCTGTGTGTCTGTTTGGCATTTCTCTGTACGTATCTGTGTCCTGGGAACTCATTCTGTTTGCTTTCTGAGGGCCATTGAAGGTTTCCAAGCTACTCTAGAAATCAAACCTTCCAGACAAGTCTGTTAATCAGCAGAGGTTAAGTGAACAGCAGTACCTGGTACATGCCTAGAGCTGCAGAGAGATGCATTTAGCTCATGATTTTGGGCACAGCACCACACAAAGCACCAATACCTCTTTCAGACAGGAACAGCCTGTATGTAGCCTAAACAGGGTGTTTGTGGCGGTGTGCTTGTGGTATGTGAGCTTCATGCTCACAGCACAATCTGTTCTTCTCTCACCTTTGTTACATTTCTTGTAAGAAGCAAAAAACCCCAAGGATTTGGCTGAGTCATTCACATCCCAAATAATATCCTACTAGTCCATATTATTTGGCCCTTTGGTCAGATGAAGATGGTCTGATCTGATTAGACTAAAGTGATTGTTAAGAAAATTACAACAGGGCTCAGAAGTCACAATACTTAATGTCTCTTATTCCAGGCCTTTTCTAACAGGTTGGACTGTCTAGGTATATTGGGGCCACTTAAATGTGGCCAGCTCTTTACTATTGCTGTCTCTCCAAACAGGTCCTAAATCCATTTTACGTGTTCCAGCTGTTCAGTGTGTGTCTGTGGTTTGCTGAAGATTACATGGAGTATGCCACTGCCATCATATTCATGTCTCTCCTCTCAATATTTTTGACTGTATATGATCTTAGAAAGGTGAGACACCTCACATTTGCCACAAGGCAGATTTACTTCTAATGTCTGGGAAAGGCCAGCATGTTATAGTGCTACAAGACTTACTCAGAGGTTTTGTCTTGTGACATTGTGCAGTAGCAGGTGCAATGGCCTGGCCTCCTAGTCATGGTAATCTCTGTGTGGTACCTTGCCCACATCCTCCCTTCCCCATTCCAGTGCTTCACTTTGTAACATTTTGTTACGCTCTCAGTAATTAGGGTGGGGAGTTTCTTTCTCTGAGTGGTTGTATAGTTCCTGGTAGAGCCGGAACCCAGTTTCTGAAGGCTCTCATAACCACAAACAACAAAAAGTAATAATTGTTAGTGGACAAATTGCATAATGTAAGTAAGATGTGACACTTTTGTGTGTTCTTCTTTAATTTATAGCAATCCATTAAACTGCACAGACTGGTTGAGTCTCATAACAACATCATGGTCACTGTCTGCAGAAATAAGGAAGGTGACTCCTCTATGCTTCTTTTTTTCAATGTATTTTGTTTCTATAGCAATTTATATCAAGCCCAAGCATGTACAGTAAGAGATTTATTCTAAAATGGCTTTCCTCTTCTCTTTCTCAGCTCAGTTAACTCACTTTTGCACATAGAGTTAATTTAACTTAAAAATATGTTTTGGCACATCAAACTTATTAATAATTGAGTGCAGCCTTAGCAGAAAATTATCAGGAAAACTAAGTAATTTTTCTTAAAGCAGTGCTGACATAGTCAACAGCATACCCATTAAATGGCAGAGACCACCTAATTGCTCCATGCAAAGTCTGTTCATTATCAAGGTATCTAGAGCACAAGCCAAAAAGATGAAGTCAAGTAAAAGAATGTAGATCCAAGGCTCTTCAGTTAGCTCAGCGCATTGGAACAGTAACCATTGGTAAATAAGGAGGAATTCTTCAGTTGGAACTGATGCCTAGGCTTTTCTTAAATATTGCAGGTTGTATATTTATGTCCTACTGTGGGCCTTTGTTTATCAGCCATTATAAAGAATTATATTCAGCAAGTAGTTCCTTGTATTTTTTCCTCTTGATACAGAGAAATATATGAAGCACAAAGTTTGCATTCTTGTCTCTTTCAGGGTTCCAAGAGCTGGAATCACACCATCTGGTTCCTGGAGATATGCTGATTTTGAAAGAGGGCAAAACCCTTTTGCCTTGTGATGCCATCCTGGTCAGCGGGCAATGCACTGTAAATGAAAGCATGCTGACAGGTACAGCCCATCCCTCCCAGGTTTGTCACCTGAACACCATCACTGCCCCATGGCTTCAGCCAGTGACACAGGACAGGCAGTGTTATTGTGTGCATCCTTTTCTGTGAGACAGTCCATAGCTGGCCAAGAAGGGGATTTTTTTGGTTCAATATAAAAGAGATTGAATTGTTTGTTGTCTAAACAGACATTATGGACTTTAGGAAGAGCAATTTATCCTTTTCTACCTTCCTGGGGTGCAGCATTTAGGAAGAGATGATCTGATTAGAGGGGAAAGAGTGGACAGTGGAGAGGAGTGAGCAGGACAGGAGAAGAAAATGGATATGAAGCAAAGTTGTTCCTACAAAGGGCCCACAGTCCACTCTGGCTGCAGGGGTTTCTGTCACTCACTGGATGTCTCATTGCTGCAACATCTCCAACCTGTGGATTGTCTGCCTAGCCCTCCAGACACTTAGCCTCCCATTCCTGTGATAGCAGTGGAGGACACACCAGGTGGGAGAGGTCACTGGAAAGCAGGATTTTTGGTGCAGGAGAAGGTCACAGTTCTATTTATTCTTCTATTTATATTTCTTGTCTTTAAATTTGGTCTTGATCTGAATCAAACTGAAACTGTCAGTTCTGAAATTTCACATAAATGAGAAAATCCAGAAACAACTTTCATTTAGAAAACTTCAGCTGTCACAAAATATTTCTTCTTCACCTTAGTGTCTGCTTTGACATAAATAGGGTATTTGTCACCTGTCAAGCATTGACCTAAAGGCCCCCCTTTTTACTAGAGGGAAAGCAGGGAATATCATGTTCCCATCTGCTTGGGGGAATGTGTAGTGAAGTGACCTGCACATGAGGTTCAAATTAGGTAAACAACTTGTGACCATTCAGCAGCAGTCACGCAACACCAGTTCAGGCCTCTTTTCAAGTCTCTGCATCAACAGAGTTTGGAGTCCTTGGGCTGCTTTCAGTTCTCAGACTTACATGAAGCTGCTGTACGGATGCAAAGGAAAACTCTTCTCTGGCAACCTGTTTGCTAGGCTTTAATCTCTATTCACTATGAAGATGTCAAAATATAAAAGTAAAATTTCTGTAAATTGGTTTCTCTAGTAAATACCCTTTAACTTACTGCCTAGATGTCTAGGTACTTATTTGAAAGTCAGCAGGCCATTATTAAGTGTATTGCAGTTTTCTTCATCTGAGCTAATCTTCCCTAGGAGAAAGTATTCCTGTAACAAAGATCCACCTACCCCGAGCTGATAATTTCAAGGCCTGGAGAGAGTACTGTGCAGAAGATTACAAAAAACATGTCCTCTTCTGTGGAACAGAGGTCATCCAGACCAAGGCAGATGACAGAGGAGTAGTGAAAGCTGTGGTGCTGCGGACTGGTCAGTCAACACTTGAATTCACTTTTCCTTCCATGATTTTTCTCACTGGAACAGTCTGACAATGTATCAAATCACGTTAAAGGCACTAATCCATATTTACAGCAGACAGATGGAAAATCATTATCCTGGGCTGGGATAAATTATTATGCATTGTTTCTTTTTGCTTGGTGTAACTTCTACAACAACTGCCAGCATATAATTATGAAGAAGAATTTTGCTCTGCTTCTAAGACATTGAAAAAATCCTTCCCCTTAAGACAAAAATAACTCTTTTCTATGTTCTGCAGATAAGGTCACATACACTAAATTAAACACCTGTGCCTTCTTTCATAAGTTGCAGAAATTATGAATTATTTTGAAGCCCCCCATTCTTTGCAGAGAATTTGAAATATTTTCCCCTTGGAATTATTTTAATTTGTCTTTCCAGGTTTCAGCACAGCCAAGGGGGATCTGGTGAGGTCCATCCTCTACCCTAAACCCATGAACTTCAAGCTGTACAGAGATGCCCTCCGATTCCTGATGTGCCTCATAGCATTTGCAGCCATTGGAATGATCTACACAGTGTGTGTATTTGCACTTAATGGGGTGAGTTACTAAATGTGAGAGAAATGGTTCACCTGAAACCCTTTTAAAATGGTTCACTCATTCTCATGCATGAAGGTCAATGTGAGAAGAGTTATACACTGTAAACAGCAGCTCTACAAATTTTAAAGCCTTATTTATTTAGAACTTTTTTAGAAACTTACAAAAAAAATCATTTCATCCCATAATAATTATCTGCCAATGTAAAGTCCAAGTCATGAGTTGCAAGGTTGATTCTGTAATTCAGCTTTTGAATCATTTTTCTCCTGGGGAATAATCTACAATCAGTTGGCTCAGAAGATTATTTCCCCTTAGGATGTCAAAGAAAGTGTGTTTAAGAACATATTCATGTGTCTGCTTTGAAGCTTTTCCTCTTTTTTAAAATTTAACTTCCTCATTGTAATATGTAAAATACATGTGATGCTATCTCAATTGCTGAAATTGTCAATCTTTTAAGATCAAATCACAGGATGTACTAAATGCTTCCTCTTCTGTGAGGGTTTATTTAAAGTTGTGTGGTTAGCACTTCATTCTAACATAAAATAGATACAAAATACTATCAAACTGGTGTGTTCTGTGTTCTGAGACAATATCAATGAAGGGAGAACTAGAACCTGATGGAAATTCAGACATCAAGTGCAGCATGATTTGTGGTCAAAGTCCCAAGCTCAGAGGTAATAAAAGTAAATGTCTATGATGGTTTTCAAATTTGCTTTAGTTTGCAGTGTCTCAGTCCTGGGACCCCTACTGGAAAAGCATTCAATTCTTAGCTTTCATATCAACTGTCCAGAATAATGGTGCCCACGCTCAGCATCCTGGCAGTCAGTTTTGCGTTGACCTCTAAGCTCCCAAATTATACATTGCTTTTACAAATGTAACTGTTACTTCCATATCTCTTCCTGCAGGTAAAAAAAAAATTCTTTCACAACTTCTTGAACATAAGGTCAGAAGAAATCATTAGCTCATACATTCTGCCCTCATTTTTATAACCATCCCATATGTCTCACCTGTCACCTTACCATGGAGTCTAGACCTATGCCTGTAGGCATTTGGATGAGTGCCCATATAAATAGCAGATTCCTGTGTGCTGTATCATGGGAAAATGGTTTTGACTGAGGGTGCAATGATCTAACTGGCATGTTTGAACACATGTGTTTTGGAGGAGGCTCTGAACTCTACCTGGTAGGTTTGTTTGCGTGGAGAATGGATGAAGGCCTGGAGGCTGCTCTTTAGCAGTGATGAGGCTTTAAAGCCTCTGTTTAAATCAAGCCTATTCATTTCATATGGAGATGAATACATGGTGATGGACCACAGGCAGAAAACAGTACAGCCTGGAGCACCTGCAGTGGAGGGGAGGAGGGATGAAGAGGTCTACACCCAGTGCAAGCAGCACTCCTTGCCACTCTCTTCCTGATAACTGTCCTTGTTATTATGTCAGGAGGAGACAGGAGAAGTGGTGAAGAAGGCTTTGGATGTTATCACTATTGCTGTCCCACCAGCTCTGCCAGCTGCCTTGACAACAGGAATCATTTATACCCAACAGAGGTTGAAGAAAAAGGGCATCTTTTGCATCAGCCCACAGAGGATCAACATGTGTGGACAGCTGAACCTTGTCTGCTTTGACAAAGTAAATGGCTGCGTGGTGGTTATGCTCTCATGGGTAAAGGGAGCCATGCTGGGGGGTAGGAGGCTGGGGTTTGAGCATTTCCATTTTATTTTAGAAACACAATGACCAGTGCTGTGTACTTAAATTCTTGTTGTCTGAACAGAAGCTGTGGCAAATTCTTGTTTTTCTTGGAATCTAGGAATTGTCTGGTAGCCTTTTCGCTCTGCACCGTGCTGGTATTTTCTGGACAGGAACTTCTTAAAATAAGTCTTGATTTTTATTCCTCTTGGAGCTCTCATGTGGGAAGTTAATTTAAATGTACATTTTAACTTAGACTGGCACCTTAACAGAAGATGGCCTGGATCTTTGGGGCTTCCTGCCCTCTGAAAGAAACTGGTAAGGCTCCCTGACACACCAATGGCATCGAAATTTGGTGGGGTAGTGATTAGATTTTTCTACTAGACAAAGGACCAAATCTGAAACACTGTTATTGTTAAACGGTTAAGCAGCTTGAAGTTCCCCGTGTTTAGATTTTAAATTTTATTTCTATATCCTCTGGAAAATTAAATGTTTGCCTTATTCCAGGGGTCCTGCTCCGCATGAAAAGATACAGCCACTGTTGCCAGCATTTGGCACAGCATGTCTGGGCAGACAGTGTTCAGTAGACAGGCTGGGTTTGGTCTCAAGGCTGCAGTGTAACTCCAGCCTTTATGAGAGGAAGTCACTCATACCCACAAAACTGAAACTCTGTTCTTTCAGTGGCCTTGATTTTGCCTATTTACATTTCCAGAAATATTCATACACAGAGCTGCTCAAACTTACATCAGCTTCAGAACTCAAAGAATTTTTGCACACACCTCAAGGAAGATATTTTATAATAATCTGTTCCTATCTCCATCCTATTGAACTCCCTAACTAGGTATAACACACGCGGTTTGAACATGCCTTCCATAGGTGCATGAAAAGAAGTTCATGGGGGAGGACAAGTCCCGAGAACATACATGTGGTCTGGTCTCAGGATGGGTCTTTAACTGCCTCCAATTTAGGATTTTTTTTTCTGTTAGAATTATGTTGTTTGGTGCTCTCTGAGAGTAACTTTTATGTTCTCTTTTGCTTTAGCTTTCAGGATATTCACAGTTTCCCTGCAGACCACGGCCTGCCTTGGGGCCCAGTGTTCAAAGCACTGGCAGTTTGTCATTCATTGATTGTTTGGGAGGGCAAGATCCAAGGAGACCCATTGGATGTGAAAATGTTCGAGGCCACTAACTGGGTAAAACTGTGATTTGTTGTTATGCAAACAGTGGGAAGATCACCTTGTCATCTCAGGTTTAGCCAGATACCTATCAAAGTCATGAAAAACTCAGGAATTCTGTTAAATAACTCCTGTGAAACAGGAATAATTGAGTTTCTTTTGAAAACTCAGTATTTTTGTTCCTCACAGTCATGTTGTGATGATAAAAAAAAATCCAGATTATTTGTGGAATACTTCAAGAGCAGAGCTTTCTACATGAATACAAATTCTTGTGTATTATTTTCTCATTGAATCTATGTTATATCTATAAAGATTTTTCTTTATTTGTGTTGTAATGAATGAAGGATTTCTTGTCAGTGAGAGGATATAGTCTATTTGCTGTGCAAGGGTACAACATTGTCATAGTGAACCTAGTGAGGCCTTCTACTCGACTGCAAAGAGAGGCAGTGGACTTTCCATTACTGGAAATGTTTAGTTTGACATCAGACAGACAGACCCCTTCCAGGAATGAATTAGATGCTTTGTTTAGAGGCAAGGAAAAGCTCAAAATGGATCCTTGAGGTTCCTTTCAACTATACTGGTGTTGCAGTCTGAAATATTTTTGTCTTTCAATACAGGTAATAGATGATTCCAGCAGACACCAGATCGAAGGTCAAGGGTCCACATGTGCCACAGTTGTTAGACCTGGACTTAAAGCCATCTCTGTAAGTTATTTGCAAGATTCACATTCATGATCAAGTTAGACTGTCAGTGTAAGGGTTACCTTTCAGTGTAGGAAAGCTCGGGTGTCTTGTCCAAGTGAGCTCTTCCCCACTTTGTACTGTCTGCAGAGAGATTGCCTTGCTCTGTCTGATTATAGATGCCTTGGGGAGCTTGCTGCTCACACCAGAAACAGGAGGATGCTGGATTAGAGACTGTCCAGCTCAGGGATTTGCCTGTCCTCATGGCTTGAGACTCAGTCCAAACTCAGCTGAGTAGGGAATGCAGTAGAGTCTGGTGGCTGATGTCAGACCCTTACTGGTGACATACACTGGTGGGACACTTTCTGACAAGCATTTTCCCTTTGCAAGACCAGTGTAAAACCTAAGTCTTACTAAAGAAACAGGACTAGTAAATTACTTTCAGTAAATTACATTTAGTAGTCTGCTAAAATTGTCAATGAACTTTTCCTACTGCTTAAGCTAAATATTTCTGTACAAATTTAATCTCATCTTTATGAGACAGTCATTTCTGTCCAAGTGTGATAAACTAGCCATTATACATGGTTAGCTTCTTACTATGGCCCAAAGGACAGACCTAAAATCCTTCAGTCTGAGTCTAAAATCCTTGCTAGAGTGTGTAATCCACTTGCTTTTCTCCTAGGCCCCTGTGGAAGGAATTATCATTTTACATCAGTTCCCATTTTCCTCAGCCTTGCAAAGAATGTCTGTCATTGCCCAGGAAATTGGTGGGGATCCACAAGCCTTCGTAAAAGGAGCCCCTGAAATTGTAGCCATGCTGTGTAGACCAGAAACAGGTAACAAATATTTATAAATGCATTCTAGAAATAGATATGTATAAGTGACTTTGGATGGTGCAATGAAATGGAAGACACAAATGAGATTTCTGTCTAAGACTTAAAAAAGCCTGAAAAGTGTCTCTGTTGTATTCCAAGTCTAAGGCTAAGCTCTCACACAGCTCTTCTCAGCAAAGAAGGATTTTGAGAGAGATAAGAGATAAAAGTAACTACCAACTCCTAGACAAGATGTACAGTCTCTAGCAGAATAGATATCTGCAAAAGTTGTCTACAGGTTTGTCCCATCTCAAAAAGGTTGGGTTTTTTTCCTCCAAACCTTGGGAGGACAGCTAGAGAAGCACAGATCCTTCATCACACCCTAGGAGAAGGCAAGTCTTTGCAGTTTAGGACCTAAGTTCAAAATGATTAAGGAGAGGCAAAGATTTTCATATTGAACAAAATTAAGTTCAGTTCCTTTCTTTGATGTGCTTGGCCTATCGGTAGACTCTAGGTCTACAGGCCCCCTGGGACATAAACCTCCCCTGCTCCAAGGCTTCCTTTTATTAGAAAGCAGTTAAATGCTTTGATAAACTGTCTTTTTGTCTTTTGCACAGTCCCATCAAACTTTGAAAGCAAGCTCCTGCTCTACACAGCACAGGGCTTTCGGGTCATTGGACTGGCCTGTAAATCTCTGCAGGCAGGGAAGCCTCCTGCTGCTCTAACAAGGTAAGCCATAAAAAGCACTGCTGCTGGCCGTGTTCAACCATGGGCCAGGGGTGCCTCACAAAGCACAATCACCACATCACCCCTGCCAGGAGCACGGTCTGAGTACAGAGTTTTGTTAGATTCAGGCCAGATGGAATCAGATTTAAATATGCATGTATGTCTGGGAATAGATAGAGGGCACTCCTATAGACCATGTACAGAATCCTTGCACATTTCTTAACATTGTCAGCTCTGGATCAACATAAGAAGCATAATCCTATTACACTCTGAAGACTAACACATGCCCCCCACTCATTCCATCATTTACATTAGTCTCCTTGCAGATCTACCCATGCTTTCAGTTGAAGAGAAGTTTTTTCAATTTTTTTTTATTATCCACACTCTTCCATTAAGCAAAGGCAGTAGATGGCCCCCATTACTGTTCACCAGCCCAGTCAAAGTCAGCAAACTACCTTCTGCTGTTGTGTTGGTCCAGTCATTTAGTTTTCTAACTTTAGCCCTGTTCAGTTTCTACAGAAGTCAGCAAACTCTTCTATTATGCTCATGGAATTGTTTTTTTACAAGCCTCACAAAAGAACACTTACACATGAATCCCTATAGTTTTTTCCCAAATCCCTTTCGCTTTTGCTTGTGATACTCCAGAAACACCACTTCTGAAATATCTGCAGTTACTCAGCGTCTGCTGTCCTCTCTTTACTAGGTGCAGGTCCTAATCCAGGTGAGGCTCACTTGCTTTTTCACAGGGCTTTTTTCTTTGCTGAGAGGGCTGATGACACTGAGGCAGAGTGCAAGTGGTTACATAACTCCTGTGGCAGGTATCATAACAGACCTATCCAACCCAATGAGTAAATGTGTGTGAAATGGCACAGATTTTTCAGTTGTGCATGCAGTTACAGCATGTGTGATGTTTATGCTGCCAGGAGAAAGGAGAAAGCTGCTGGTCAAACACAAGATCTGCTGTGAAAGCAGTGACCATTCAGGCACCACCTGACTCAGCTACTCTGACTGCAATGCAAGTGTTTGGCATCTCCTTGGTGTCTAAAAAAAGTGCTTGAGAGCTTTTCTTCTTTTCAAATTCTTCAGAGAAGAATTTTCAAATTCAGAGTTGACCTTTGTCCCTGAGAGACCTCTAGTTCTTGTCTCAGGGATGGGGTGTCTAATAAATTCTCTTCTCAACTGCATGTGTTCAACTGTATAAAAACAATAGCATAGGTAGCAAGAAAAATATAGGGGAAAACAGAACTGGAGCTGCCACAGGTTGTTTGCTTAGGTGCAGCTGTTAAGAGGAGCAGACACATTAAATAAGGTGTGTTTCTTTGTTATACAGTCCTCAAATGAGAAGGTCTAGTGTGCAGGGACTTTCCAAATCAGACCACCACAGTTTGGGAGTCCTGCAGGAAATTTGAGGTTCTGGTACTGAATTAGCACTGATTTTGAAATAGCACCACAAAAGGCAGAAATCCTGGGACTGCAGAAAATTGACAAATTATTTTAATTCTTTTGAGTTAGATGGGATGGTTAATAGTTATAACTGGCTATCATCAAATCCAATGTGATAAAGGTAAAATAAGTAATTAACTGTATCTGTCTCTTTTTGACTATTAGGGAGGAGGTAGAATCTGACCTGACATTCCTGGGTCTGCTGATAATGGAAAATCGATTAAAGAGGGAGACAAAGCCTGTTCTGGAAGAGCTCAGTGCTGCCTGCATCAGGAGTGTTATGGTCACAGGTACCTAAAAAAAGTGGATTATTTTTGTGGTCACTGGCCCAGATAGGGAGTTCACCAATGTTTAAGTGAAAAGTCTGCTGTTGTCAACACCACTGGTAGGAAGGCACAGATGTTTAATCCAAAGAGCATGCTTGTTTTAATAATGACATAAGGTGGACCATGTTGTCCCTGGCAACTCCCCCAGGCTTCTGATTCTAGGTGTCTGATTCTAATAAAGGCATGTCATGCAAGATCCCTTTTTTATAGGGCCTCCTGAAATGAGCAGAAATGCAGCATGCATGCTCAGGACAAATCTCCAAACCTTTTGACATCTTTAATTCATGATCACCACTGCCTGTCTACCCTTTTTTTTTTTTTTTTCCTTGAAAGGCTATTCTATCCAAATCCAGACCAGGGTTTGGATAAAATAACCCCAAGTTTTACCACTGTCCAAAGACTTGGGCCTCAGCCCTTTCAGCCCACATAAACCAAAGCAAATCAGTGAGAATCAGGGATATCAGCAGCAACTTAGCACTGAATCTCTTACTGTTTTTTGTCTGAAACAAATAATCTGTGGATTCCCCATAGGGGTTTCTTCAAGCTAAATATGAAAATACTTCATGTCCAGATCAAAATGTTTCTTTTCCAAATGAAAGTATGTTTAATGATTGAGAGAAACCTTATTTGCAAAGTTTTAATCTTTATCAAAAACTTTCTTATGGACAGGCACTGAAATCTTACTGATTCTTCTGGTTATATTTGAAAATTCAGAATTCAGGCTAATGAATAAACAATTCCTCACTGCAGAAATTTTTAGGTAACACTTCCTTTGATTTTTGTAGGGGACAACCTTCAGACAGCTATAACAGTTGCCAAAAACGCTGGCATGATTCCTCCAACACACAGAGTGGTTCTTGTGGAAGCAAACAAAGTGCCTGGATCTTTTTCAGCATCTATAACCTGGAAATCCCTAGAAGGAAACAAAATTGAAGATTACAGAAGCATGGTGAGCATATCAGAAGCAGGTTTTGTGCAGCAGGAAAACAAACTAAGATGGAATGCTTGAAAAAGGAATGAAGTTATATATGCTAGTATAACAGAAAACTGCAATTTACCATGAGAACATGTGCTAGAAGAGTGTTTAGGAAGAGGAACATAAAAGTGCACTCCCCTAGAGCTTACTACCTAGCATATTATCTTGTGAACACTTTTTTGCTAACTGCCTAGCTGATTTGCAGAGATTCCCAGAAAGATTTGTCTCTAGCCCTCAAGCTTAGCTGATGCCAGTTTAAATGCTTCCTTTCCCTGCAAGATAAATTTGATGGTATAGATGTGGACTTAAAAAGCTGTGGAGCTGCATTGAACAAACCAGCCCGCTTCAAACAGGTAGTGTTGGCACTTCCCCATACCTGCAGAATTAAAACACAGAGCCACTGTTGAGAAACTGCATAAACACACTGAATCATAGGCAAGCCGGGCTAAAAAATTTATTTTATCAAGCATCTTCACAGAGAAGCTGGGATGAAGACCACTTACTTTCTCCCTGAAGAGTTAGTCTGAAGGTACTGACCCTTCTCTAGGAAGTACAGAGTCAGGCAGATGGTAGGGAATATCTGCAGAGGCTCTTGAGTGGCTCCTCAGCCTGAGCAGCTTCTGCCCTGTGTTTCACTGCAAAAAGACTTGCTTAGATGTGGTGCCCATCTGCTGTCTCTAGTCCCTCTTATTTCCAGCTCAGCCCACCAGATTGGCACTGTTGCAAATGCAACAATCCATTTGATAGAACTCATGCAATGAACACCCAGTTAACAGTGAAATGATTTGTGTTACATGCCTCAATCCTTTTACAAATCCAAGCAAAGGCAATGGGCCTTGGAATCAAGTCTCCCAGAGCCTTCAAAAGCAACTTCTTCATGGTATGTCCTTTACTTTGTCTGTAGTAGTGTCTGTGTAAATGCAGAGTAACTTTTGAGGGCCTGGGCACAGTACTCATTCTTTTTATTTATTCTTATTTTATAGGAAGATGACAGTCAGACTGAGCCAGGAGTCAGGCTGGCATTGAGATCAAGCCAGTATCATTTTGCCATGAGTGGAAAGTCTTACCAAATTGTAGCACAGCATTTCAGGCACTTACTTCCAAAGGTAAGATCTGGATTGTTTAACTGGAGTAGCCTTGTCATTCAGGAGATATGAATTGTCCTGGTACAACTGGCTGAAGAGACCTGTATCAGGATATCTTCTGGGAACAATTATAACCCTGAAATACTTATGGGCTGGATGAATCTCTGATATTATTATATGGGGAAGGATCTGCAAATCCCTGTGTTTTTCTCTGCCCATGAGAGGAGCAGGCATGCCTTAAGGTGTGATTTAAAACATTTGTGTCAATATTCCTACCCCTTGCACAGCGCTGACTCTGACTTGTTCTGGAGAACAAGAGAAAACACAATATTACACATGGGGAAATTCAGCATAGCTTGTCTGTTCCATGGACAGGATAGTCTCATGAATTCTCTTCTTATAACTCCCTGCCTGGCAATCTGTGTTCATTAGGAAACACAAATGGCATACCAGGCTTCTTGTCCTTATTGTCATTGCTACTTTCTCAAAATATTCATTAGGCTCCCTTTATCTTTGATTATCAGCCTTTCCTGCTTCAGTCTAGAATCAGTTGTTTATAAGTGTGATATTTGGCAATTTTAATTCAGATTATTAGTGAAATCACTTACTACAAGTGTTTTAAAAATAATTTCCTATTTTTCTCCTTATAGCTCTTGCTGAATGGAACAGTTTTTGCTAGAATGTCTCCGAGTCAGAAATCCAGCCTTGTAGAAGAGTTTCAAAAGCTGGAGTAAGTTCCTAATGAATTTGAAAGTGTTAAATTCCCAGGTTTGAAAAGAGTCTCGTAAGAGCTAACTTTTGTCTAGCATAGAGTTTCAGGAACTGCAAAAAACTGAAACTTCCACACAAACTCAAGTTGGCAATTAAATTCCAGAAGTCTGTTAAAATAGAGACACTGAACTCCATGCTGCTTTGGCAACTTGTCAAAGATCAAATACTTCCATGTATTTTGTTTGTTCATACCATCCTTCATTTTTACTTCTCTCTGAGCCTGAAGGATTGACACTTGTCTCCCCAAGATTCTTAAGAAGCTCTCCCAGCACTGCAGCTTCTCTGAGCTTGCTGTCTGTTTACTGTGCTACTGCTGGCTCAATGTGATGGGTTAGAAAATGTGGCAGGGCAGTCTGGATTGTTCACAGTCACAGTGATACCTATATATATATGTATATATACACTCCTGAGTCACAGGCATCTTGTTGCCTGTTGTTCAACTGTTTCCCAAGTCTTTTGAAGACTCTCACCCTTACTTTACCTAGCTAGCCCCAGGCCTTGTCCTAGAGCAAGGTAGGATTATCAACCTGGTGTGTGCACCTAAACTGCTGTCTGGCCAGACAGGCTTTAACTTTCCAGGAAGGTTTTTAACAAAAATCTTGCATGACTTGCATAAATTACTTGCCTGGAGCAGGCTCAGATTCTTCACTTGCCTTATCACTTTATTTTTTAGTTATTTTGTGGGCATGTGTGGAGATGGAGCCAATGACTGTGGGGTAAGTGAAATTTTTTAACAGTATATTTTAAAAATGAGGAATAAATGCAATGCCATTAGAATATTCCAAACTGAGCACATGCTGGAGATGGAGTGTACCATTTATTCACAGAGCAGCTGTGCTACCACCAGTACTGATCTAGACTTGATCCCACTGTGCATTATACCATGCAAGAGCTATTCCCAGACAGAGATTTTTGCAGTTTGTGATCTCAAATACTGATTAATTTTCCTTGAAAAAACCATCAGAAGATTCTTCTGGGGGAAGCAAGCAGAAAACCTAGCCTGCATAAAGTGTGGGAGCAAACAAGTGCTCCCTCCTCTCCTCCTAAAAAAGGTGGCAGAGCCAAACCTGTCTTCTGCAGCTGGTAGTGGATGGCTGTGTGGTCTGTGGAAAATGAACTTTCCCATGCTTGCATCCCCATTCTTTCCCTGAACTTGGCATCTCACTGGAGGAACCCTGAGGGTGGAGCACACCCAGGGAGCAAAGGGGGACTGCTGTCACAGAACACATCCTGTAATAAGGGGGTCACTGCTTGGTTGACATGTAAGTTGCTGTATGTCCTGGTGAGCACTGAGGAGGAATGTGACTTTCAGGCTTTGAAAGTGGCACATGCAGGGATATCACTGTCGGAGCAGGAGGCGTCTGTGGCTTCACCTTTCACATCACAAATGCCCAGCATAGCCTGTGTTCCAGAGCTAATCAGGTAAGCATGGGGTTTTGTTTCTTATTTCATAAAGAAAGTTCCCATTCCTCTCAAACATTAGGCTAGGTGCTTCCATCAAGTCACAGTATCTAGAGAAAAATAAATGTCTTTGACCTTAAAATTGCCATTTGCCTAGTCCCTATCTGGGAGGAATTCCTTTAAGATTCATTATCACAAGAGGAGGACATTTACAGTTGAGCTTTATGTCAACAAAAATATTTTAAATGCAAAAGAAATAACAAAATGAACAATGCTCCATAAAGCTGAATCAAATGTCTACCAGCCAACCTGTACATGAATTTTAGATCCTACCTCTGATACCCTATGCTAGAAAAATATGGCATCTGTTATGCCAGGATCCTGATTTTGCTTACTCTGGGGCACTTGAGCCTCCAGGGAGAGAGCATTATCCTGATTGGATATTGTATGTTCACTGTAGGAGGAGAGGACTTGTTAGTTCTGAACTCACTGAGCAGCTGCTTGGCTATGGAAGTTTTTCCTCATACGGAGCTGTTAACTACACTATTAATGTCAGCAGAAAAAGTTGCTGAGGTAAATTGTAGTCTACAGAACACAGGCTACTGGAATCAAGCCCATTTCATTGAACAAGATATCTGCAAGTAAAGATTTTACTTTCATTTACATTTACATTTATTTCACCTCCCAGCAAGATACTGGTAGAGGCCTCTCTGTGACACATGCCTTGTTTTTCAACAGCCTTTTGAGAGAACTGGCCCCAGGGGTAGACCCATCACCTAATTACTGTACTTTATTTATGCCTTCACACAGGGAAGGCCGTGCTGCTCTTGTCACTTCCTTCTGCATGTTCAAGTACATGGCACTGTACAGCACAATTCAGTACCTTGGTGTTCTCCTGCTTTACTGGGTATGTATTGGGAACTCATTGGCTGGAACTGGATAAGCTACTATTTCCTTGTGGGAGAAATAGGGCATAAAAGCCACATGAAACTAGGAGATGGAGATTGCCTTTACCTGAGCTGCAAACTTCTGTGGTGTGATCAAATGGCCCTCCTGTACCCTTAGCAGAAAACTGGCAAGATTCTTCCCATAAATTTCAGCCAGAGAGCTCAAGATCCAAGCTGGCCAGAAAGAAAGCTGAAATACTGAATGGTATTTTGGATGAGGGCATATGTCTGTGAAAAGGGAGAATCTGGTGTAAGCATATGCTGTTACAATTTATTCGGCATTTAAAGCATGAATTAACTTGACAGTAAGCAAATCCCCTGGAGTGCCTTAAACCACTTTTGCATAGCTTTTCCCCAGATGGAGAGGAGGGCTTTGTGTTCAGAAGTAACACAGCAGTGAGGAAACAGTCTCTTGAAATATTCTTCTCTTTTATTGCCTGGAGTGAACTGAAAGTGTAGTTAGTCCAAACAGTGTGCAAAATGAGAATATTCACTACAGTGAGGAACCTATTGGCAGGGTGGTGGAATGTGTGGTTTCTTTATCTGCAGAGCAGCATTTCAGAACAAACAGCAGAGCAGTAGCTGCATGGAGATAATACGGCTTTCTGGAGATGATACAAATGTGCTCAAGGCAAATGTCTGATTTGTGATTTTTTTTCTTTGTTTTCCTCTTTTCAGCAACTAAACTCCTTTGGGAATTACCAATTTTTGTTCCAAGATCTCGCTATTACCACCATAATTGGTGTGACAAGTAAGCCCCTTAGTCATCCTATGTATTAATGAGAGAATGATCTCAAATATTTTTCTCCTCCTTGGAAATGCATAATTCTACATACAGAAAGAGAGAGAATGGAGGCCAAGCTTTCTGCAGACTAAACATCCTCTATGTAGAATAGAGGATGTTTAAATTAGTAGAAGAGGGGTCTTGTTTGAGAAAAGCCCTGAAGATGGGAAGTGCTTAATAGTGCTTTTGCTGAACATGTAGGTTGTTGCTAACTGGGGTGCTATCTTTAGGACCAAGGAGTAAGCCCACACCTAGTGCAGTGGAAAGTCTATCCAGGCATTTATTTTCCGGTTGACCTTGGAAGGCAGATTAAGAAGATACCTGACTCCATGCCCAAATGAAAAAGTAGGGATTAACTTTTTTGAGTCCAGCTCACATTTGAAACTGTGTAGGCCAGAGCCCCGAAAGGAGAGAGAGGTGAAAATGGAGTAGAAAGAAATGAGAGATATCAGACACTACAGAGCAGGGAGTTGTAGCCAAGAATAACAGGGGAAACTGGTGCTGAGGCAGAAAGAGAAAGACAATGTTATTGAGACAGAATAAGTGCAGGGAGAGTTTTAGAAGCAGGAATGGCAAGGACAGGCCATGAAAAGCATATATCAAAACCACATCCTGGTATGTTCCATCCTTGCTGGAACACAGACAACAGGAAAAGACTTTGATGAAATCAAGCCTAAAAAGGTCAGCCACGACAACACTGTGTGCCAAAAGCTACATTGCTGTAAGTAGTTTATCTGGAATTGCATCAAATCTTTGTACATAGCTCTTTTACTCAAAGTCTGGATAACTTTATTAAACCCAAGAACAGAAGGAAACCTGTTGTGTCAGGTAATGCTGTCCTTCTCCAGCTCAGATAACTGGCCACTGTGTGTTTAGTGCAGCAGGATGAACAGAACATGGGCAGAAAAAATCCCAAGCCACAGCTGACAAGTGACAGAAAGAGAACAGAAGAGAGTATGTTATATCCTTGGCCCTGACAGCAGCCAAATAAAATAAAAAGCCAACATCTTACTTTTCAAAAATGCCTCATGGTAGTGAGATGACATTAGTTAACCTCTTCTTTGTCAATACAATTTTGTAAGAAAACAAACTCTGTTTTGCACTTTATAAAATCTTTGTATGGTTTATTAAGAATATTACAGACTGCAAAAGTGTCATGGATACAGTCAGTATTACACAGCATCACTGCTTGTATTTTGAACACACTAGTAAGCATATCTGTGCATGTTTCAGTGAGTTTCACAGGTGCCTATCCAAAGCTGGTCCCCTACAGGCCTCCAAGCCAGCTCATCTCACCCCCATTGCTGCTCTCTGTTGTACTTAACATCCTCTTCAGCCTCGGCATGCAGATCTTTGGGTTTGTGATGGTCCAGGAGCAGCCTTGGTATTCCAAGACCAATATACACAGGTAGGACCCCTTTCTGGGACTCTGGATACCACAGGGTTGACCTAGTGGGGCAGGTCTGTGTGAAACTATTGATCAGTGTAACTGCAGGCCTGATGAGCAGCTGCAGCAGACCCTGTGCTGCCCACAGGGCAAACTTTAGCCTCCCTAAGCCCAAAGCAAACTTTGGGCTCCCTAAGCTCTCCAGCAACCCTTCATGCACTGTTCATCTGGTGAGAATCCTTCTGCTGAGCACAGAGAGAGTTTGATTGCAAGAGAAACCAGGTGTGAGCTCAAGCTCTGACAAGTTCAGCAAGCTCAACCAGTGGTGAGATTGAGGGCATCACCAATAACCTATATCATGGCTGTGAGGGAGGATTCCTGAGACTTAATAGTGGAAGATGGGGGAAATAGCCAGGATCATTCCCTGACCAGTGTGACACTCTTTTTCAGTGCCTGTCTGTCAGTGAACAACCATGAGAGGAATTCATCCTCCAGCCTGGGGCTCCACAGGGTGGAAGATGGAGCCCATGAGCAAACAGACAATGGCTTCAAGAGCTATGAAAACACCACAGTGTGGCTGCTAAGTACCATCAATTGCCTCATTGTAGCACTAGTGTTTTCCAAGGGAAAGCCTTTCAGGCAACCTATCTACACCAACTGTAAGTATGGGGAGAGAAGAAGGGACATATAAGTCAATTTTAATAGTCAAGTTTAAATAGTCAAATTTAATAGGGAAAATTTAAACTTGGCCAAAATTACGTCAGCCAAAAAATCAAGAGAAAGACCGTCATGTGAGGGGAAGATGAGCACATATGTTTGTGACAGTTCCAGAAGATGAAGTGAGTCATGGAAGAGCTGTTCTTTTTCTCATTCGGACAAATCCTGCAGCATGCTCTTAGAGAAAGCTCTTTTTTTTTTTTTTTTTTTTTTTTTCTTTTTTTTTTTTCCTGTACTGAAGAATTAACATAATGCTGCAGATTTAATGGCTTTGGTGTTTAGGTATAGTAATAGTGAGGAGGGGGCATTCCTTGTAGAGAGCAGAAAAATTGGTCATCAGTCTCCCAGAACAAGGCAAAACACAAATGAGTGGGTGGAGGATGAAGTTCAGTGCATGCCAACTGAAGAGAAATTTAATTTACTCATCATTGGAACCTTTGCCTACAGATAGAGAAGGTAATAGGTTCTCCATTACTTAAGACTCTAGATCGCAATCAAGAGCAAAGTCTTGACATCACTGAAGTTGAAGGCAGTGCTCCTAACCATATTAACAAGATCAAGACTATATCCTGGATGTTTTTCTGAATCACAGGCTATACTGTGAACAGAGAGAGACTCACTGGAAGGCTGTAAAGCTTCTCAGATGTGAAAGGTCAAACCAAATATTCAGAATACCCATTTGTTGTTTTAAATCTGTGGCTACAATGCTTGTCCCACACTTGTGTATAGCTACTTGACTGAGTAAACCTGGGATTTTCTTCTGTTAATTTCTCTTTTGCTGAAAATTCCTTTCTATCCCACATATTCTTTGATGATTGTGTAACACAGGAAATTATTACAATCTTCTACAGTAAAGGCAAGCAGCTGAAATTACTCATAAACCTGTGGGTTTCTTTCTTTGCTCTTACCCTTTCAGATGTCTTCATACTGGTGCTCACAGGGCAGCTGGGCATTTGCCTCTTCTTGATGTTTGCTGACATTGATGATCTCTACTCCAAGATGGATGTGAGTATTGTTCCAAAGAGCATTTTCTTCCTGCTACCAGTCCATTATAAGCACACTGGGATTGTTTTTACAAAAGGCACAGACTTTTGCAGGGAGACATGGCATCTCTAAAGACAAATCATATTTAAAGAGGTGGATTTTAGATGATGGGATTGTAGGAACTTCTGGAAACACGGTGGCTCCAAACGAGTATCTGTGCATTCAGCAGGACAGCTACACATGTAATTTTGATTGTTTCAACATATTGTCCAAGCAACAGAAGATAACATCACTAAGCTTATGTGTGGTATGTTGATGGCTTGTGAAGCCAGGAGCAGAACAGGGCTGAGTTCTGTGAGTTTACAATGAAGCACCATGTTCTTATGTTTCTCAAGCTGAGCTACTCTGAACAAAGGCCCTCATGCCAAAATCTGCCAGTTAGCACTCAGAGCAGCTCTCAGTTCCAGTCCCAAATCTTTTCAGGCTCCCTGTTTAAATTTTAGAGAGCCTGCAGTTTCCCAAAGCAGGATTTGTGTTTAGAACAACTGTAGAGAAAGACTTGCCATGGCAAGAGAGGCTCTATCTTGATCCTTGATTAATAAATACCAGTAAGGCTTGACTTATGTAGTCTGGCAGAATGCAAGCTGGGAGTTGTCTTGTGTAAATCTGTCCCAAGGGAAATGTGAGGGAAGGATAATATCTACATCAGCTGAAGGACAGGGTTGTCAGTGGACCTGACAATTAGTATGTTGAGACTGGGAGATGTTAACCTTCTCTGCTGTGACACTTTCACAGGGTAGGAGTCACAGAACCAAACAAGAAAAGCACCACACTGCTATTTTTTTTTTTTTTTTGTGCATTCGCAATCAGAGCAGTGGCTTTGAGCCACAAGTGCTGAGCACAATGCAGTTTCCAGTCCTGTATGTTTGCACGTCAGATAGCAAGTCGGTTTAGAAATGGAATTAATGAAATATGGAAAGAGAGTCAAAGGGTCCAGGTCTCGATTTTAAATATCAAACAGCTCACCTGAAGTTTCCTCACTGTTGCCTGTAACTATTTGCAGAGCCCGGCTCAGCGGGCAGACCCAGTCAGAGAGCCTGCCACGAGATGGCACTTTAAAGCAAGTCATCGTCCTCCTGTGGACTGTGGTGGCGCAGGACATTTTTCAGCACTGCAGCTGCAGGGGGATAAAATGCTTTTGGGGAGAACTAAAAACTCCCAAGCCAAGCAGTCTGGAGGGAATTCACTGAAATTGCTGAGAAGAGAAAAGGAGGAAGTAGCAATCAAAACCTGTGCAATAGCCTAGCCCTGGAGAAACTGTTGATCAATTGTGGATCAGTTGAGCTGCAGACAGAAAGTCAGTCCCATCTCTGGGAAGCTGGAACTGAGTTTGGAGCTGAAATACTCAGTTCAAACTATTTCTTAATATTAGAAAGTAAAAAGGCAGTTAGAATTCCTCTTTCAGTTCTAAAGAATGTTTTCCTTTGTTTTCTCTACATCATTATAGATTTTAAAGTATCTTTATCAGTAATTCCTCAAGACAAATAGCAGTATTAGCTCATCAGCAGGGTAAGCCAGTTTGGGAGTCTGGCTTTTTATAACATGAAGCTGCTGAAGGTCTGAAGCACAAGTCCTGTAAGGAGTGGCTGAGGGAGCTGTGTTTGTTTAATATTGGGAAAAGGAAGCTCGGGGGAGACCTCAACTCTGTCTACAGTTACTTGACAGGAGGTTGCAGCAAGGTGAGTGCCACTTTTTTTCTCCCATGTAACAAGTGATAGAGAGGGAATGGCCTCAGGTTCTGCCAAGGAAAGTTTAGACTGGAGATTAAGAAAAACTTTAAACTGGAAGTGTTACAGACTGGAACAGACTGCTCAGAGAAGTGGTTGAGCCATCATCCCTGGAAGTATTTGAAACAAGTGTAGTTGTGGCACTTAGGGACATGGTGGACTTAGCAGTGCCAGGTTTATGGTTGGGCTCAATGACCTTTAGGGATTTTCCCAACCTAAATGATTCTGTTTTTTGCACAAGTACCCACCAGCGTTTACTTTGGACACATTGCTGAATACCTTCTCCGTCTTTTTTCCCAGCTCGTTTGCACCCCTACCATGTGGCGAGTCTCCATGGTGATAATGCTTGCAGTCACACTTGCTGTGTCCTTCCTTGTTGAGGTGAGTGTGCATCCTTGGATGTGCTGGGCAGCACTAATTGGAGAGGCAAAATGGTCAAGTCTTGCTCTTTCTCCCTCCTCCACAGCCCAGTTTTGGAATACCTGGTAAAGCAGGAGTAATTGCTGCTACTTCACCCTTGCTCCCTTTTGTTAAAGCCCTCAATGATAAGGGAATGCAAGGCCTGGGCTCCTTTTCTTTCCTCTGGTGAGTGGGATCTATCAAGCCCTGCCCCACGCTAGAAAAATATGGGTGGTGTGTGTGGTGTTTTCTGCTCAGATCCTGAAGGATCCAGCTCAGGAGGAGCTGGTCACAGTTTTCTGGTGGAGAACTCTGGAGGAGCTGGTATGACATGTGGTCAATATAAGGCTGTTTAAGGGACGTGGATGAGAAGGGCAAGTGTGAGATCAGGGTTTTCACTATTTGCTGTATGTGTGTACTCTGGATGAAGAGTAAACTGCGGTCCATATCCTCTTAAACCTTCATTTTGCTTTTACCTGTACAGGAAGCTGTTATTGAGAACAGAGCCCTGTGGCTGCTTCTGAAAAAGACATTCCGGTACCGCTCAAAGAGCCACTACAAGAGGCTGCAGCATGTGTTGGAGCAGGACTCAGCCTGGCCACCTCTGAATGAAACCTTCTTCTCAGATTCTGTGGCAGTAACAGTAGAAGGAAATACGGGAGGCCATAGCAATCCAACGTTTGACAGCAGTGAGGACTCACTCTGAAGGAAACTGCAGTGGGCACACGCCAAAGACAGTTGCATTTCACCTTAAAAGTAATCTGACTTAAAAAGAAGGTCTGACTCATTACTGCTCTCCCATTCTAGGAATAACCAGCTCTCTTGCTTACATCTAAATTAACTGGAAGCATGAAATCTGCAGAACATAAAGCCACAATGATGTTTTCTTTGTTCCCTTGCCCATACACAAATGGCTGCCATCTGTAAATAGAACAACTTGCTGAATGTTGGTAAAGTATTTGTGGTTGAAACACCCCATTGCTGCTTCCCTCTGTTGAACTGCATTATGCAGTCCCTAAGGGTGGGGGATTCTCCAGATGAAAAGTAGCTAATTGCAATAGCAGCACTCCTCTGGGCAGATCCTCTTTGAGAAAACAAGTAGAACTTACTCCTGATAGAGGCTGCTGAGCACAGGCATTCCTGGGATTCTTCATGGAGTTTCAGATACTGCTATTCAGTGTCTTGCTTTTTTTTTTTTTTTTTTCTTTTTTTTTGGAGGTTTTAACCCTTCTGGCAATAACTGGCTTCCAGAGCTGAAAGCAGCTGCAAACAGCCAAAGCTTTCTAGAAGTGTTCACTCCCAGCACCACTGTGCTCTTCCCATGATGGGAACAAAAAGAGCTCTCTTGGTAGCTCACTGCTACCAGGAAACCTGTTTGCCCTCTTAGTTTTTAGCAAGTGATACTTGTATTTTATGGCTAAAATTTTTTTTAACCTGCAAAGCAGAATGATTTCACTATTTAACCTTTTTTTTTTTTTTTCTTTTGGTGGGAGGTATTGTTCAGGATATCCATTAAAAAAATTAGAATAGAACATATTAATTACAAATTATGATCTCGTCCTGTGGGTCTTCAAGGACACACTTGTGTCCCTTATGGGGTGAGCTTGCTTTATTAGGGCAGGTGCTGCATAGCTGGGCTGCCTCCTGGCATAAGCTTTACCAGTGCCAAAAGAAGCAAACATTGAAGGGGTTATTAACCCCAAAGACCTAAGGCCTGAAATAAAAGATGTGGAGCCAGCCAGGTCTCAAAATAACTTTTTAAAATTCTGTGGAACATTCTTAAGTTGAACCATCTGAGGTTTAGTCTTCTCCATAATTGCAGGTGCAATTCATTCATCAGCTCATACCCCTCATCTGTTAATCTTTGATGGAGAATTTTACCCAATTTGCTGTGCTGTGTTTGCCATACATAAATGCAACAACACTTCACATTCCTCCAAGTGTTACCTACTCTAAAAAAAAAAATGCAGCTTCTACCTGCACATACTCTCATAGCCCACTGATGTTAATCTGCCTTTTTCCTCACTGCATTTTGCAATCTTGGTCCCCAGCTGCATAAAACAACAAGATAGTCAATCACAAGGGCTTTGGACCAAGAGGAACACTTCCTTCTGTGGATAAGGTGTGCAGGGGAGCTGTGCCCTCTGAGTTGACTTCACACGTTGTTTTCCATGTTTTTACTGGGTGGGGCTGAGAAGCACTTTATTACTGGAAAATGTATTTTCCCACCACTTTGTGCTAAAACACTCCTGTGCTGTCACAGAAAGACAGGAATCAGGCAAGCTGGAAATCATGGGAAAGACTTCTTTGGTTTTTAAACTTAAAAAGCAGCTTGGGAAACAAAGAGCAAATCAGAAAAAATTCTTAATTGTTTTGAGTCAACATATCTGCACCAAAGTAGAGTCTGAAAATAATCTAGCCTGAATCTAAAAATAACGAAGAAAATAAAGAAATAATAGCTAAGAAAAAAAAAGACAAAACCCCAACAAATTCAATCAAACAATATTGCAAAACTTGAACAAAACATTTATTTGACTTAAAGCAATTTTATCATCTGTTTTTGACAAGTTTGATATAAGCAAATGGAGTAAATGTTTTCCTACATACAGTAGTTTACCTAATTGTAAATGTCTGTCACAAAGCCACACAACCTGAAACAAACTAGAAATATTTTGTATTAATTCCTAGAAGTGACTCCAAAGTTTTCATGAGTTCTCAGTTCACAGCAAAATCCACCGGAAGGGGAAGGCTAGATGCTCTCTGCATTCTTTAGAGCTTGAGGCACCAAAGAGCAGGTTAATGGAGTTGCTCCTGACATCCTTCCTTTTTAGATACAGTAACATTTTTCTTGAAGACAAAATTCACTGTCCTACAATGAACTCCCCCACAAAATGAAATGTTGCTGCATGTGCCTCAGTGACAGTGGCAGTAGTATTGCAGACCGGGCATGTGACTTACAGAGCACTGACAATATGAAAGTATCAAGTCCTGGTAAACCTGTGATAATTGGGTTGAGGAGATAAAGACCTGCTTGCCTGCTGCTGAAATACAGCCTTACCTGCAAGAGAACAGAATTCAGATGGTAGGTAATGATTAACCTCTGCCACTCTGAGCACAGCACTTGGGGGGACAGTTATGATGATTTCACCTGGGTGCTTTGGGATGGGGTGACTGATAATTCATAGACACAATCCATGGTGGAAATGAACCATGGTGGTGAACCTCTTTTTTGGCTGTTAGCGCACATTCCTGGCAGAAAGGTGCAGGGACTAGTAGGAAGCTAAGGAGGTGCTGCATACTTGTAACAGCTAAATATTTTCCTTATGTTGACTGTGTCCCTTCTTGGAGAGCAGTATTGTTGAAGACTGATCTCTTCCTCCTCTGCTGTTGGCCCTTATTCCTGACACAACTTTTCCTGTGGACGGGGACATTTTTGCTTCCTGACTGAGCTAAAACACAGACTTGGAGAGCTTGTGCTTTTTGCAGCTGCTGGGACTGCAGCCAAATCATAGCTGCCCTTTCATGGAGGCTCTTGCTGATGATCTTTAGTGGAATATTTTTTAGCATAGCTAAAAACCCATTCCTCTTTAACAGACTTGGTTTAGTAGTCCAGAGACTACAAATCACCAGAGAAATGCTGCTGCTGCTGCTGCTGGACTTGCCTGTGGCCTCAACAGCAGGGTAAAGCAAAAGTATGTTTTAGAATAGAGGAAAATATTTGCAGAATTGCTATTTTTAATTGCTTCTTTCACCTTATAACTTCCTTTTCTCCTGACATAGGCACAGGATTTTTTTTTTTCCTGCATAAATAAGGACACACTGCAGGACTGATCTTCCTCTACAGAGGACAAAACAGATATTGTGGATAAGAGGGGAAATAGTTTTGGATAATTACTTGCTGAGTTTGCATATAGAAATACCAGGCATGTGTTTCTGCATACAGGATATTTTTATGCTGTTTGTGTTCACTTTACTGGGCTGTGGATGCTACAGGAGTGTCCTTAAAATGGGAGACACCTATGGATACCTGAACTTTTAGTGAAGTATGTTTGAAACCCTACAAAATTAATGAAAAGTTCCAGGATTTTTGAAATTGGTTAGATTTGATGTTACCAACCTTTCAGTGCCCTCTGGAAAGGGGTTTTGAAGAGAACTCCAGCATGGCACTCTGAAAAGTTTATTTAATTTGAACTTTGTACTTCCATTCAAGACTGAAACTTCATGTTTGAAATACTGATGGTAGTGCCTGGAGGCAGACTGGTCCTCATAAGCTTGTGGTAGTTCAGGCCAGATGCAGCTTCAGTGTCCAAGGGCTGGCACCCTGATTTAGTGTCTGTCTCTTTGTTCTAGTGAATGTCGAAGAATGCATTAAATTTTCAATGAGGGACCAAATTTGTCAGACAAATAATTCATTTCATTTCCAATCTTTATGCAGAAAACATTTTCACTGGCTATTTTAGTTCCACTAGCTCTACAGAATAGTCTGAAGTCGCTGCTTCTGAGAATCTGAGTGATGAGTAATCTCTGGAAAACTTCATTTAAACTTTTTGCTGTTAGCTAGCTACCAGAATAACAAAAAATATGCTCTCAGATATCTGTGGGGCTAGTGGCCTGTTTTGACATAACACATAAAAATGAGTGATGACTTTTGTTATAAGGCTGACAGAATGTAACATAGCTAAAAGTATGGAAGTACAAGGAAATCAAACCATCGTTTTAGCAGTAGTCTGAGGCTGATTACTGCTGACCTCACAGACAGGCTTTCTTTTTTCCAAATAAATATATTTACAGTGACTTTCTTAAATCCCAAAATATTGAAGACTTTTGTGCTAATTCAGTCTTTTCCCTCCTGCATATTTGGGTACTGTCTGAGTAGCAGTTACATAGCCATCAGAAATGTCACCTCTGTTAGATGGCTGTGCTGGGAAATCACATGACTTACAGTTATGACAAAGTCTCACTTTTGGTTTCTGCTGCCAAAAAGGAATTGGCTATCAACAGTTTCTAGTTACAGACATGTGAAAGCTGATAAGCTTTTCCCTGGCAGCCAGGAAGAACCGCTGTGTCCTGGGGTGCCTCAGGCACAGCATCGCCAGCTGAGCAAGGGAGGGGATTGTCCTGCTCTGCTCTGAGCTGGGGCAGCCTCACCTCGAGGGCTGGAGGCATTTTGGGCATCACAGCATTAAGAAAGACACTGAACTATTAGACAGCATCCAGAGGAGGGCAGAGAAGATGGCGAAGGGCCTTGAGGGGAAGCCATATGAGAAGTGACTGAGGTCACTTGGTCTGAGTGCTTTTGGAGAATTTGGAAAACATTTCCATGATTTCTGAGTCCACTTTAAAAATACTCAGTGAAGGTAAAAACACATGAAGAAACTATATAATAGGGAAAAAAGAGAGAAATTATATGAATGGAAGTATGGGAAGGAGTGGTATGAGTCTGGATGAGAACAGTTTAGTCTCTCAGGTCTGGATATTAGAAATCCTGCTTCCCTGTATTGTTAAAATTCAAAAGCAAAAATTAACTGGGGATTCCTGACTCCTGATTAATGTTTTATTTATCTTCAGGAAGACATAAGGGTTAGAGGTCAACACTGAGCATTGCAATTTCTGAAGATGGGATGGCAGCTCTGAGGTGCTCTGACCTGTTTGTCACGATCACTTGCTGCTCAGAGCAAGGCACAGCTTATGTTGCCTCCAAATTCACCACTAAAATCATTGTTCCTGAGCTGAATTACTGGGCAAGGGCAAGATTCAGCCTTCTGAGAAGTAACTTGAGAAGGTGAAGTGCTATCTGTGGAGTGCTGCCCAGGAGCACTTTCATTGCTGCCTCTCACTGATCTTGGCAAAGTCCATGTGAAGAGCTGGGGCTTTTGCCAGCACAGGTGTGTTGTCTGCACATCATGTTTTTGTATCTGCAGTATCTGTAGGATAAGTAGCTCTCCCACACTGAACAAGTGTTCAGAGATGCCA